TAGAGCCTTAATGGTGTATTATTTGCTAGGTTTTTGAGGAAATATAGGTTGAAAATTAGGTATATACAATGGTTGTTTTCATAGCAGTTATTCTATGATAACGAGACATTTGAAGGAGAACTAGCCCACAGACACAAGTGAAATATACGTTTTGAGGATACCAAACACTTTTTTATCATCATCCGTGATGACTGAAACATTCCATAACACATCGAAGAGAGTATGCGATGAATGAGGCAATTTGCTGAATTTCCTGGTGATCTTACCCACTTCTGTGAAGTTCCTAGTTAAAATGGCTCAGTTGAAGATGTGATACTAGTTTAATTTACATTGTCACATAGAAATTCGGGAGACCGTAATTGCTGAGTGCATTACATTGCATCAGATTATCTCGATATCATTGTGCATTTGTGCCAGAAGAATAGTATAGATGGTGCTTCTAAAATGCCAGACTGCTTCAAATTGGAATCACCTTTCTGTAGAATAGTAGCTCGCAGATATGTCCTACAACTACTAAACGTGTTACTTCAGTTATATCAGTCTTAATTTTTCATGTTCACATCACTAACATATTCTGAGATGCTTAATGAATTACTTGTGACTATGAATGACATGGAAGGTGTACTTATGGCTCATGTTTCTGAAGCATTTATTATGAAACAAGTTATCTGTAGGGATTTTGTGATGTTTAAGTTACAATGCTTGTGTGTATGTAGTTACTGCATGCTATTGTACTTGAAGGGACAGTTGGTGAAAGTGAAGATATGATAAACTTTTCTCTAAAGTCACTATGAATACTGCAAACTGTTGCTAAGAAACAGCATCAAAGGAATAAGTTCCGAATAGCTAGAAAACACTAATGCAGTTTCTCAGGATGCTGTTCTCCTCCTGGAATACCTTTTAATTGTGTGAGGGAATAGCACTTACCGGTATATATGCAGTGTTCATTGTGAAGGGTCCGGAGTTTAACTTTTATTGTAATCTGTTGTAATTGCTTGTACAATAAATGAGCAATCTAAGCTTTTGAAAAAGTTTTAATTTACGATACTTCACGATTGTAATTTATAGCCTAAGTTATTGTACCTGTAGAGATGTCATGCATTCCTTGTAAACACCCATTTATACAGTATGTTAAGTTATTATTTGCTTGGTGCTATACTTTAGAAGAAGAACAATGTATGTCACAGTGAAAACCGCAGAAGAATGCTGTCATGACCAAAGAATGAGAAAGGAGAATGAACCTTTTTTCAGCAAAGGTAGGAGAATATAAAGCGTTTCACTTTTACATTACTTATTTCTAACTTCAACGATTTAAAAATTATACTTTATTCACTTACTTGTAGATGTTCGGTCAAGTCAGTCAACCAGGTCACAGCAATTACGCATCCCCGCAGTAATTACAAAAAACAATTGTGTGAAGACATTCGCTTAATATTTTTCATGAAATATATTTAACATCCTGCTTACCATACTTTTCTTATTCTATCTCAGTGAAACTAAATTTGTCATTATGACAGGATGTAGGCCTGAGAAACTAATTGTAGGCACAATTCAACGTCGGCGAAATCGTACTAACATTGCTACATCCCAACCTATTACATTATTCCTCTCGTGTAGACTTCAGTTTACACTGTATGTTAACACCCGTAGTCATATGGATTGACATCTTGCTTTAAGTGAAATAGTAGTAACACAGTACTTTCGATTACACTTAACTTCATACGAAATCGAAGTCAAATGCAGGGCCCTAAGTTCTATTCTTATTTGTCAAACACTGAAGTTAGGTATTTTTGTCATTGGTCCCTACAGATTTATCTATGACTAGGAGACGTAATCTCAGATTATTTTTCGACGTGACTGAAGTACTTATAATTCACGACTTATATCGGTGGAAAGTGTTCCTACAGAATAGCACTTACGTATAGTAAGGAATTCATATCCTAGGGAGCACCGGTCTAGCATGCCGTACTCCCAACGCGAACACACGAACAGAAAGGCAACAATCTTAATACGAAAAGTTTATTCTTATTGTAATACGAAAGTATTTAATTTACACATCAAGAACATTGTTGATTTGAGCGACTACTTCTCCAGCGAACTCTGCGGCAAACCTCCGTCCATATTTGTCACAAATTCGCGTCAGGCCCGCATTAATAAGCCTCCTATTGGTTACGTATAAGTCACATTGATTTCGCGGCACAATTGCTGACGTGCTTGGAATTGCGTACGAGTGGCGAGACCATGTCCATCGTTTACACTTCTGCAGCACATGATTAACTACAAAAGGTGGAACGGTAAACGGAAATAGAATTATGCACACAATATTAAAGGATAAATAATGACAGTGCTTACGTCCTGTTTTCAGTTAAGACAAACCCTTATGAAATATATATACATTTTAGTATCTACGAATTTCAGTCAGTTAGGAGTAGGTTAATATGCATTAACTATGGAGACATAAAATAGGGAATACTTCAGGTGGCAATCTAGTATATCTTACGTGTAAATGAATATACAAGTTTCAAAAAAGGGTATTTTACCTGTGAAACACGCCGTTTTTAAATGCACCATCAGCAAGTGTCGACAGGGATACCGACAAGTCTGGAACGTCATACAAGTACATGTGCATGCGCGCAGATCCACCTCTACTTGTCTCCCATTGTCATCCAAGAAGATATAATCAAAAGCTTCAAACTGAAAAGAAGTCCATCGTCGCTTTGCATAATCAGCGATCACTTTCTTCGCAGTGTATGGCGTCAGCTGGCGTAAAATTGGTATTATGCGTTCGGAACATGAATACTTGAGGGAACGCGACTGAGCAATCATGGACTCCTGCTCTATTCTAGAATTACTTAGTTGAAACCATTTGTAAACCTTCAGCATGCTTTTATGCAGACTACCTGATCTAAGCAAGTACCGCTTCATCTGCTTGTGAGAACTTTCTACTCGATTGTTGGTATCATTACCCAAAGTCAGTACATGCTCCCTGAAAGCTGCTGCCCACAAGTGTCGTCGGCTCATCCAACGACGTTGTAAATACTGACTAACACCAACATCCAATCTGCTTATAACTCTGAAATAGAAGTTAAATCTGGAAAAATGAAAATATTAAAGGCATTACTCAGATCTCCTTTTACACTGAATTAAGCGTTACCTTTATTAACTGAAGTTTTCAGATTTCTAACGTCATTAAGAGTTATGTCCTTGTGGAATGTTTCCTTAACATGCATAATTATTTCATCTGATGAGTGTGATTGGTGAAGAAGTGGTTCTACATTTTCTTTCTCTTCCGCTGACAGCCGTCTAGACCATGGATCATTCTGCATATACACCCTGGTGCATGGATGGTTGTGGACCATTTTGTGGGATGTTATCACGTATTCACTATAACGCAAAATTACGCGAAATGCAGACAGACAGTTGCAACATTTAGACCTTAAACATACATATTATCATAATACAATTCCTCTTACGACTTGTTTCGCAATTTCAGGCCAGCTTTTCCACGGTTCACGCCAAAAGTGCATTTAAAATAAACGTAAGCTTACTTATATCTGTCGTCCCCTGTTGTTTTGCTTTGAATATGCACATAGTGAGTGCAGGACAACTACGTTGTTAGCATTAAATGACTTCCTCACTTGTTGAAATTCTCCTAAGGAATTCTCAAATTCCTCCCAACTCAAGAAACGCCTTCCCAGCATAATTTCATCGAAAATTCCACTGACGTCAGCAGTACTTTCACCCGCATTGCCTACCTGCAATAAACTAAAAAGGCGTTGTCAATTAGCATCCATCTGTGTCGCAATATCCATCAATAAAATGCTACATGTATAACCTAAAATCGAGAAAAGCCCTAGAACTCACGGATTCCTTGACATCGCCAGCAACCGATAGGCCAACAAACCGAGTGTATGATAAACCAAGCCTGGTTTTGGTGTGGTTATGTTCTCTGAGCTGGATGGTTTGGTTGCGAAGCTTTCATTGCTCTACTGAGCAACATCTTCAGCGCATACTTCGATGTGAAGTGAGCTTTTAGAATTCTCTATGAGTTTATTAGTCATCTCTTCTAGTAACCTTGAACGTGATTGGTTCATCAAAAGACATCTACCCCCAGCTCAACCAACCAAATCAAAGGCCACCAGCGAAAACACAAAGAAAGTCGTCCTACCATATATAAAAGATATCTCCGAAATCACTGCAAGACTATTCAAACCTTTTGGAATCGATGTCGCTCATAAACCAACAAAGTCACTACACTCAGTTCTATGTAAACCAAAGGACTCAACGGCAAAAGAAGACAAAACTAACGTCATCTACAAGATAAGTTGCAACGACTGCGACAAACATTACATTGGTCAAAGTGGACGCCCTCTTCGTCTTCGCATTCACGAACACAAACTAGCTGTCAAAAGACACGACATACACTCCCTCATATCACTACATGCAGACAACCACGGGCACCAATTCGACTGGGACAATGTTCAAATCTTAGACAAAGGGAACTGCAAAAATGCCAGAGAATTCCTAGAGGCCTGGTATTCAAATGAATCAGCAATCAATAGACACATAGAGATTGACAAAATATACCAATCCATACGAAGAAATTCACACAAAAACAAAGTCAAACTTCAGGTCAAGGAAACAGTCAACACCAAAACAAGTGAACTAGAAAGTGAGAAGTCACACAAAACCAACCAATCACGTTCAAGGTTAGCAGAAGGAATGACTAACGACATTCAGACCAAAGAAGCAACCAGCACCGAGACAAGCAAACTAGGGGGTGAAATGTCACACGAAAACAACCAATCACGTTCAAGGTTACTAGAAGAGATGACTAATAAACTCATAGAGAATTCTAAAAGCTCACTTCACATCGAAGTATGCGCTGAAGATGTTGCTCAGTAGAGCAATGAAAGCTTCGCAACCAAACCATCCAGCTCAGAGAACACAACCACACCAAAATCATCCACCTGAGCTACAAATCTTCTCTATTATACCAAGCCTGGTGCATGCACAAAATAAGTAAAAGAAAACGTTAGAATATCAACATTTTACATTTATATTCATCAAACATGCTTGCAAACAACGCATGCCGCAACCACGCAAACCTGCACACGGCATGACCTACCGAGGACAAATTTAATGTGAAACTCTCCGCCACTGTACTAGCCAATCAAAGCTGAGAAAGCCCTTAAGCGCGTAAGATATAACACTCTATAACGTATATTCTCACTCGACTCCTAACCTGGTAAGTTGTGTGTTTATAGTGTAATGTCCTTTAAGCTAATTAAATGGATACTGAAAGTGAACTGGTGTTAGTAATGTGAATCCCCGTAGACGTCTTAGAAGTACTCTATTCCTTTTAATATAGCCTTGTGCTTCAGTTTTCTTCGAAAGAGAGACATGTCCACGATCTGCTAGATCTAGGAATTATAATTCCTAGATCTAGCAGATTTTCCAAGTTATCTCTACATATTATCCTATCCAGAATGAAATTGGGGGTTTTGAGGGGAAATCGGTGCATTTAAATGGATGTACTTAGTTGCTGCAGTATCTTTTTGAAGGGTTTCCAGTCAGCTTATGGCTGGTGGTTGCTATGGTAAAACATATCTAGCTAGGCGATATTGACAACAACTCATTAAATAACCGCGACAACTAGTCAAATTGCTCGGAAACAAAGTTTCATTCCTTTTGACCCACAGTATGTTTGATTTACAGAATATTTAATGTCTCATAGGTACATTAAGATCAAACTATAATTTTAATTATGTAATACTTATTCACCTTTAAATATATGAGTAATTATATTTTGTATATATATATATATATATATATATATATATATATATATATATGGTGTTGGGCAGCTTAACCTAATAATTTTCGGAAAGTGCTTCAAAATATTTTCACCTTCCCTAGAGTCGCCAAATTAAACTGAGATCCCATCAAAGTACGTCAAAATTGGATATTAGGATCTCTGTAGAATCCAAGCAGTCTTGGTACCTCATTAAAGAATTTGCAAATATTTTGAAGCAGGACATCGGCATAAATTCCTACAGGTGACTTTTTATAAATTCACTTGGTGACCCAATCTATGACACGGATACATTTATTTAGTTGAATCCAATATTCTTTTATGAAGTCTGCACATATTCCATTTATGAATTCAACGCATTCACTTGAATATTTAAATATTCTTCAGTCGTCTGTAGAGTATGACGTGTCTTTTGGGAACTTTTCACTGCTCCTGTATCTCGTCGAATTTTATGGAAATATTTGTAGAATTCAGCTAACAGCTTCTCATCAACTGAGATATAGTGCAATCTAGGATTGCTTTGACCTTTGTCAGAATTCGCGGGTAATGAAAATTTTATGCTCTAGTACTTCAGTACACACGCAAGCTGAAGCGAGTAATATAGGCGTTCACTTAATCTCCGGTTTTACTAAGTACTCTAATTATTCGTACGAGCAAGGAAATAACTTCCGTAGTTTGAATACAAAAGGTTCTTGTGTAATGCAGTATTAAACCTTAAAGAATGTTAATTTACTGACTTTCGCTGAGTGAAGTAGTGCCATCATAAAAATGTGACAATGTTCTATCCAAAACTGCTCCAAAATATTAGCAAGCTCCATCTCCATTTGTTCAGTTTATAACAGAAATATTCCTGTATTATTTATGTGTTCGCTCTTAGCCTGTTTTCTAATGGTCACCGGATTACTACACTTTAGTATTTTCTATGTTTCATATTCCGTACAATGTCAGGTAAGTGTTACTTGCATTCAAGATACAAACAATGCTGCGAGAGTAAATGACAAATATAGTTTACATTCTAGCCATCTTAATCGATAAAACTTGACAATCTTATCGATTGGCTTACCTTCCACATCTCAATCGATTCTTAACTTTGTTATTACTTTTTTTGTATCATGTTATTTTATCACTAGATAATGATTATAGCATCATTGAACTCTGTACCTGAAAAATTATACTCTAGATGACTCACTAAAGTACTTTGTTCATGAGAAATATCTCTTGACACTAAAGGCCTTATCAAAAAAAAAAAAATGAAATTACTGAATCGCAAATACAGTAATAGGAAACAAACATTACATAGTGCCAGTGTTCGTGTAATCGTAAAATTTAGCGCTGAATATCCAGTTGAGTCAGTAGTCATTGAAATCAACAGAAATCTATTGTATTTCTTTAATCGGTGATGACTAACAGCGGTGAAATCCAAGGTGTTTCACTTGTCTTGCCCTATTCGGGACTATCGACTGGATGCATGTGCATTCCAGTGATTGATTTTGTTCCCACTGGCACTGGAGTTCAGAACTAGTTGCTTAACATATCAAAGCATTATCTTATAGGATAATGAAGCATAGGAGTCAATTATTGTTCAGGTTTTTGAATTTTCTGTTGTTTTGACTTCAGTGAACCAGTGTTCTCGGTTTCTACTGGTATGCAATTATACTACCTAGTATCTAGGAGGTGCTGTCCTCATACAGTCCTTCTTGTACTGAGTCTGAGCTGTTTTGTTATTCTGTCCCTCTGCTAACTAAGTAATCGTAAAAGAGTTCCTGTAAGTGGTATTAAATGACTCTACAATTATGAAAAATAGAGATTTCAAGGTTTATAATTTTCAAAGGGCTTTCTTTTGGTACTTATAAGCAAGTATTAGTGTCTTCGCCTTATATAAATGTTCATTTAGAGGAGAAACAGCTTGTTTCCTGTCCTAATTAATTCTGCTTTGATGCGGAAACATTTATAAAGGGGCTTCCTGACTCTCCTTAATGATATGCTAAGATAATTGCTAACAGTTTCAGTTTTTTTTAGTGTGGCTTAAGTGATTTTACAACTCTGATTTTTGAAGCAGTGATCTTTCAAGACGTCGACATTTGACTTCAAAGAATCGTTATTTTGTCATTATTATCCTCTTGGGTTCCGACTTCAGCAGCATATCCATGATTCCCTGTGTTCTGTGCAGTCTCTTTCAGCTGGCTCCATAGCTGCCCATAAGCTTTCATTTCTTGCACATCACACAATCTCCTCCATGTCGCTCCTCCCAGACTCACAGCCAACTCGTCGTTTTCCGTTCGGGTTCCACTCGAGTGCCAGTCTGGTACTTGTTGTCATTCAACAGTCATCTCAGCTTATATTTAATCTATCTCAATTGGTCGATGAGTTCTTGATTGGTTCGTTGCCTGAGTTCACTGTTGCTAATTCTTTCTGTCCCCCTATCTGATCTTCATTATGGAGGTATTCGGGGGCGGGGGGAAGTTACATCGATTGAGATGCTTAGGACATGTGTTACACATCCCTGCCTATCCATCGGATTCCTCGACAGTCAATATTATTTAACGTAGGATTAGTCAAGTTGGAAAAGGGTTAGTGGTGGCCAAACGAAGAAGTGAAATCAATCCATGTAATCCGCTAAAGGTTGCTTTGGGCTATTCACATAGGGAAGTGTAAACTGCCAGTATAGTTGGGGTCGTTGGGATAGTAAGAACCAATGAAGGCTGGAGACAATTGGTGATATGACTGGCTCAAAATCGTTCTCAATGGCTGGCGCAGATTGTTTCACTCTTTGTGATTTGTCAGTTGAATGCAATAATACTCTATTGTTCTCCCATATTACTACTATTCTTTTCTCCCCAATCTCTCTTTAGTCTCTTCGCTTGGTTTGTGTGCTACCTAGAGAGTGGTAACTTCTGCACTTTTATGCAAAGTTCTCTGTTGAAACTAGTCGGTCAGTATGGAGAACAAAGGCAGCTATTGATAAAAGTTTGCAGTAAAAGCCTATCAGAAGTGCTTTTCGTGACTCACCAATTACTCTTCCTCTTTTTCTTTCAGGTTCTTCACAGAATCGATTGACTAATTATCAGATTCTCTTAGCAAAACAAAACCGAAAACAATGTTGGATCCAAAACGTACAATATTCTTTATGTGTGATGTACAAAAAAGTCTGTTAAATGTTGTCTTGGACTCAGAAAATGTTACTCGACGTATCTCTAATCTTGTAAGTTATTTTTTATTCTTCCTAATATCAACCCGAACGGTTGATGATGATATTGAATCCAGTTGAGTTTAGGTAAAGCAATTGGAATCCCATTGATTGTGACAGAACAGGTAGTCTACATACATATACATCTAAACATATATTATTATTGATTTTTTTCCCTCCCCCTCATCCCTACTGCTAATTAGTATTCGAAAGGTCTTGGCAATACAGTCAACAATTTAGATATTTCACATGCTCTATGCGTGGTTGACAAGAAAACATTCTCCATGTGTCCTGGATTAATTGCTGATAAAATGAAAGAGTTTCGGGATTATGTTGTTGTTTTATTTGGATTAGAAGTAAGTTTTAAATTGTAATAATATTTCATTTACTTTTGATAATCGAAACTATTGATTGTCTCTCTCTCTCTCTCTATAAATATATATATATATATATATATATATATATATTCCTTCACGTTTCCAGTAGAAATAGGGCTTCAGGCTAGAGGCTTGAAGTTTCTGTAGCAGTGTTTATTTTTTACAGGATGAGGTTGCTAGCCTCATGCCTGACCGTTCTTCTTTACCGGCTTTTTATTACTGGTTTGGCGAGGTAAAGGAGTCCGTCGGTCGGGGATTGAACCCTGGACCATGTGCATGGTCGGCGAACATCCCAGCCACTGTGCCACCGACGCGCAATGAGGAAACAGGCTTAAAATGAACTCACACAAAAAACTTGGAGGATCTGGACTTCGCCGATGATATATGTCTGATTTCCCACAAACTGGAAGATATGCAAGCGAAAAGCAACAAGTTGGCAGAAGAAGCATCCAGAGAAGATAGGACTTCAGGTGAACATAGAGAAAACAGAGGTAATGAAAATTCCTGGACAAGAAAAACAACAAGAGACAACGATCAGCATAAATGGGAGGAACCTGAAAGAAACATCCTTCTTTACCTACCCACCTGGAAACCATCGTTTCAACTACAGGCGGAACTGACGAGGATATCAGAGCAAGAATCGGAAAAGCAAGACAATCTTTCACTACTCTCAAGTCTGTGTGGAGGTCAACAGCACTACTTCAGCATCAAAAATAAGATCCGGATTTTCAACTCCAATGTGAAGTCATTGCTACTATACGGATCAGAGACTTGCACTGCGCGTCATAAAGAGCATCTCAAACAAACTACAGACCTTCATTAACAGTTTTCTTCGCTCAATACTCAAGATCAGATGGCCGGCCAGTAAAGATCAGCAACAGAGATGTCTGTCAATGAGCGAACCAACCCAGCAGGAACCGATTGTGAAACAAATAGGCAGGAAGAAATGGAGATGGATTGGCCATACTCTGAGAAAACAAACCATCAAGTGACATCACTAGACAAGCCATTGGTCGAGTGGAACCCGAAAGGGAAGCGGCGAGTTGGTCGTCAGTGCAAGAGTGACTTGGAGGAGATCATGTGAAGAGGAGATGAAAGCGTGTGGGCAGACTTGGAGCCAGGTGAAGACTCTAGCAGAGAATCGAACCCAATGGAGATGCACGGCTAAAACCCTATGTTCCTCTAGGAATTAAAGGAAACAATAATAATAATAATCTAATATCATCAAATCAATGTGCACTGTGACGGCGAGCTACCTAGAATGGTGTCCACATTGTAAAACCTGACTGATAGAATTCAGTCTGCACCAAAGAAAGGACTAGACACGTTGCACTAGTTACTAGTGTAAAACTATGACCAAATAGCGTGTATTTTAATATTTAAGCTGGGAGAAGGACATACTTTTAGTTAATTGATTTTCATTGACATATTGGCTCCCAGCAAGGCAGACACTTTTACGATATTCTGAGGATTAACATGATGTCATTTGGTGAGGAGATTAACACTGATGAAATCAATGAAAGATAGTCATAGACTGATCACTTCATTCAAAAGATGCTTGTGAATCGACTACCATGTGCAACTTGTAGAACTGCCAGTGGATACCAATCCTCCAAGTATTGAGTGTAATCAAGCTACTGAAAGTCAGCGGGAAAGGCAACAGGACTAGATGGAATTCCTTCATGCTGAAACACTGAAAATGGATCCAGAGATAGCAGTGGATGTGCTGATGCCACTATTGCAAAAATGTATGGAAAGAGTGAAAGGTGCCTACTTAGTGGAAGAAACATTGTCTACCTCGTCAAGCTACCGAAGAAGGGTGACTTAGACCCCTGAAAGAACTGGCGCGGAATCATGTTCTTATCCATGCCAAATAAAATATCAAGTCGCGTCATCCTGGAGAGAATAAAAGGTGCACGGAAAGCAGAACTGCGATCGGCATAGGCTCCATTCATAAAAGGCAAATCATGTGCTGATCAAATTGCAACTATACGCATCATCATTATCGAACACAGCATAGAATGGCAGTCAAAGCTGTACGTCAACTTCATCGACTTCGAAAAGGTCTTTGACAGACAGCGTTGACCGAGAAATAATTTGGAGACTACTTCAACACTAGCGCATGCATTGCCTGAATCTTTATCAACCTCATTCAATAGCTGGCTATATGACAGTGGCATGTGTCAAGTGATCCACAACGGAAAACTCAGCGAGGCGTTCGAAGTGAATACAGGAGTAAGACAAGCTGGCTGTCTATTATCACCGACAATGGTATTCCTGATTGTGGTGAATTGGATTATGCAGCACACCATGAATGGGGAGCCAGAAGACAGGATTACGTTGGATGCATAAGAAGTCTCTAGAAGATCTCGATTTCGCAGATGATTTATATCTGATGTCACTCACACAAACTCGAAGAATTGCAGGTGAAAACCAACAGAGTGGCTGCAGAGCCAGCAAAGACAGGACGCCAGCTGAACACAGGGAAGACGGAGGTGATGAGGATAACCAATCAACAACAATAACAACCAGCACCAACAATCATTACCCACGGAAAGAATATGAATCCACATTCATTCATCTGCGTAGAATCGTTTCAACTGCAGGATTTCAAAGCGAAAATCGGAAAGATAAGGAAGATGTTCATCAACCTAAAGCCAGTTTTGGAACCGAGTGGAAAATGACGACTTTGGAGGTTGACATGAAGGAAATCGTCCGAGGAGGAGATGAAAGCTTGTAGGCAATAGTGGAGCCAGCTAAACAGTACATCAGGGAACACGACAAAATGGAGATGTTCTGCTGAACCCCTTATTCTCTAGTCGGAACTCAAGGAGATAATAATAATATTTTGTGAATGGCGACTAGCATTGGAATCTAGCATGCACATTTCGTCTTGTTTGAGACTCATCAACAGAGGCCAACCAATCAACGGGAAATAATTATAACTAATACTCGTTGCACAAGAGACGACTCACACACAGTCCAAGTGACTGACTGAGTGGATACTGCTTTGACTGGGTTTCAGTCTCAGTGTGTGAGGGGAAAACCGTCACTCATTGGAGATTTCGAATACATCCCGCGCTGATGAGTCCGAAATAGGAGGAAGTGCACATCTCAGGTTGTACTGCCTGTCAGTCAAAAACTGTCTCGTCTGATTCAAATCGAATAAGCATAATTAAGTAAGAGATGGGTTTGGAGGATATTGTACCATTCATTCTCTTATCTGTGCTCGTCACCATCACTCATCAGTCTACTAAAACTCCTGTGCTTTTGTCTTCTCTCCCGCATTATTTTTTATTCAGACGCATATATGTGTTCTTCAAACAGCTTTACAATTAATCGAAGATAAATACAAAGTTGTCATTGTAGCTGATGCCTGTAGTTCTCAAAGTGCTGTCGATATGCGGATCGCTTTAAAGGTGAATTTTATTTTTGTTTTCAATATTTTCGTTTCATTTTCCTCTGCTGATATTGAGTATATATTTAGAAAAATTCTAGGTTTAAGGACATTTAATAAACATCTGTATATTTAATCTATGAGTTTTGTGGAGATATGGATCCTTAAGGGTTGGAATGCGCTGCTGAAGAGTCGGAACTAGGAAGAAACAACTATTACTTTGTCTTCAGTACATCTCTAATTGATGTTGGTTCGTGATGAAGTCTTTTCGTATTTTTTTAAAAACTACATGAAATTTGGTCTTAAGTTTGGTTACCGAGGGAATTCAGTTCGAGTACCATTGAATTGAAGTGAATTAATTTTATTTTATTATGGCTTGACTCCACACATTAGTTTTGATACAAGTATGGAATTTTCATCATGTGATATCGGCAGCCCAAATTTAGCAGGCCGACCATTGATATCAGATGTGCATCGGCCGAGGATGTCACGTGTGAGGATGGATGTCCCACCGATGACATTGGTTGGTGGTCGCGCTAACATCACGAATTGGTAGAAGTTGGAATTCATGGTCCATTGAGTCGGGTCCCAGTGGCTGAGTGGTATACGAGCTTGCCTTGTAACCGGAAGGTCCTGGTTTCAAACGCTGTTGGTGGGTGCGTACTGCCGATGATTCCCAAACTAGTTGGATGAAACAGCTGTCCAGTACTCTACTATGGCCTTCAATCGTTCTCTAACTGATATCAATCCATGATCAACTCGTCAAAATATTAATTTTTTTTTGGAAAACAGAAAGATTGAGCTAAGAAATATTTACTTTTCAATTAGATCCTCATATCTGGCTCTACTCTAATATACTCTAATATAATATACTCTACTCTAATAGAGCCAGAGATGAGGATCTAATTGAAAAGTAAATATTTCTTAGCTCAATCTTTCTGTTTTCCAAATGTCTAAATGGGGATTTTTTCTATATTGAAATTTTTTTTTGTTCAGCGAAGAAACTTCTTTTCAACGACTTCATTTTCAAGCTGTACATTCGTATTTATATTAGAGAAAAAGGTTATTAAGTGGCACTAAATAATTCCTCAGTCAATATACATATACAACTGATAAGAATAACGATAATTAAAGTGTTATAAGGGGTAGAGTTGAAGTGGATAAATTTACAAAATAATAATTGAGAGTATATTCTGTGATACACAATGGTCTCTGAGCTGATGAACCACAAACCATTCCATTATGATATATCTGCTTTGTCTTCTTCAAGAAGTAGTCTATGATATCTAGTTGAAAGCCAATTGTAAGGTGTGCGTCGATGGCACAGTGGTAAGGACTCTCGCAGACCATGCATATGGTCCGGGGTTCGATCCCCTGCCGACGCACACCGGATATCTATGGTCGGCCTGCAAAATTTGGGCTACCGATATCCATGATGAAAATTCCATACTTGTACTGAAAATACGGTATGGCATCAAGCTGTAATCAAACATTTTGAGACCCAAGAACATAACTGAAGAACAGTTATCCGATGTATTGGAACACATTGTCATCCACAATCATCAGGCCTCTCCTCAAGTTT